TGTTCCACTCTAGCCACAGCCCCCACCAAACACAAAGAGGTGCAACCCTCCAAGCTTTCCTAACCCGACTACCCATTGGTCTCCCTCTCCAAGCCTCTAACATGTCCACCGACACCACCCACTCAACCCCAAACACATTCAGAACCATACTCCAAACATCCGCTGCCACTTTACAATGCAACGAGAGATGGTTAACCGATTCGCCCGTCATCTTACACATGCAACACCAATTAACTGTTACTCGGCCTCTCGTTGAAAGGGTTGAAAGGCTTCAACAAAATTTCCTTTGGGGTGGGTTGGGGGATGAGTTTAAGTACCATCTTTTTTTTTTTTAATAAGTAAATATATATTAACAAAGACGCTCAAAGGAAAGCGAACCCTTAACAAAGCAAACGAAAGACGCAAAAAGCGCCATTACAACGATAAGTTGTCATCAAAACCCAACAAACTGTCCACAGATGGACAATTTCTCCCATTAACCCAAGAAAAAAGTGAATGCAAAACATACGACTTAATAACCCACGTCGGCGCCTCCTTTCCCTCGAAAGATCTCCTGTTCCACTCTAGCCACAGCCCCCACCAAACACAAAGAGGTGCAACCCTCCAAGCTTTCCTAACCCGACTACCCATTGGTCTCCCTCTCCAAGCCTCTAACATGTCCACCGACACCACCCACTCAACCCCAAACACATTCAGAACCATACTCCAAACATCCGCTGCCACTTTACAATGCAACGAGAGATGGTTAACCGATTCGCCCGTCATCTTACACATGCAACACCAATTAACTGTTACTCGGCCTCTTGTTCTAAGATTATCGATAGTAAGAATGCTGCCAAGTACCGCTGTCTATGTGAAAAATGCCACCTTCAATGGAGCTGACGTCCTCTATACCGCCTTCCAAGGGAACCCATGGATCCGTAAGACTTTGGTAAAACAACCTGATCTCAAACACCCCTCTAGAACCCCCCATCTTCACCATCTCATCCCTTCCTTCCCCCTCCACCCCTTGACTATATATTAATCCCATTAAATCTGTAAATTCCAGCAGCTCCCAATCATTGAAGTTTCTATGAAAGCACACATCCCAACTAGCTCTCCCATTCTCTAACCAAAAATAATCTGCAACCACAGCAAACTTATCCTCAACCATCTTGAAAAGCCAAGGGAACCTACGAGCCAGCACCACATCCCCACACCATACATCTTTCCAAAACCTCACATGCTGCCCATTCCTAACTCTAAACTGTATCCGCTTAGAAAACTCATCCCAACCCCGCCTAATTCCTTTCCAAGAACCCATACCTGCTGAAAAAGACACATCTCTAGACATCCAACATCCCTCCTCTTCCCCAAAACGACAGGCAATAATACGCCTCCAAAGCACAGACTGTTCACACCCAAATCTCTATAACCATTTCCCTAACAAAACTTCATTAAACATATCCAACCTTCGAATTCCCAACCCTCCTCTTTTCATAGGGGTGCAAACTTTCTCCCATTTCACCAGATGGTACTTAAACTCCTCCCCTAAACCCCCCCACAGAAAGTTCCCCTGAATCTTGTTCAGCCTACTAACCACTGTTCTCGGAATCGGAAACAGAGACATGAAATATGTAGGAAGATTAGAGAGAGTACTTTTCAACAATGTGAGTTTACCCCCTCTCAACAAGAATTGCTTCTTCCACCCGGATAAACTCTTTTGGAACCTTTCCACCACCGGATCCCGAACGGCAATTCTCCTTGTAGACGATCCCAAGGACAACCCAAGATACGAAAACAGAAAAGACTCCACTCCGCACCCCAAAATAGCTGCCAAATCGTGAATATTTCCCACCTCCCCCACTGGAACAATCACACTCTTGCCAATATTAATTTTCAACCCCGAAACAACTTGAAATAGGCCAAAACACACCTCAAATGACTCAACTGATTCACACTCGCATCATTTAAGTACCATCTTGTTCGTTGGGAGCAGGTTTGCATGCCCATTCAGCTAGGTGGTTTGGGTATTAGGAAGGTGATCCCTTTTAAGTTTTAATAGGGTTCTCCTAAGGAAGTGGCTTTGGAGATTTAGAGGGGATCGACATCGGTTATGGAGGAGGGTCATCTTTTGCCATTTTGGGGAGGAAAGAGGTGGGTTGTGCTCCCATGCGGTTAGATCTCCTGGTGGCATTGGGTTTGGCAGGTTATTCAGAAGGGCTGGGATGAATTATCAAAACACGTTTGGAAGGACTTTTGGTGTATCGATCGTCCGTCGTTAGCTGTTCGTTTACTAGGCTTTTCAGGAATGTCGTGGACAAACATGCTTAGGCAGCTGACTGTTATCGGCTCGATAGCGGAAGGATTACTTGGGATGTGAGTTTTCAGCGACATTTTCATGATTAGGAATTTGACAATGTTTAACTTTCTTGATTTGCTGTATAGACAGACGTTGGATGGTGGATGCCCGGATTCCCTTTATTGGGGCCATCTACTCGGGAGATTCGAGGTTCGATCCTTTTCAGTTGCCTCTCAGGTTTCTCAGGGGCAGATTTCCCTTGGAAGATAGTTTGGTGTTCGAAGGCTCCCCTCAAAGTGGCATTTTTTGTTTGGACTGCAGTTTGGGGCAAGATTCTGACACTTGATAACCTCAGAAGGATAGGTTACAGTTAATTGGTGCAGCATGTGCAAAAAGGATGGTGAAGCGGTGGATTTCTTGTTGTTGCATTGCCTTGTGGCTCATAACTAGTGGAGTTTGATTTTCAGCTTGTTTGGTGTGCAGTGGGTTATGCCCCGGACGGCGAGAGGTTTGATTGACTCTTGGAGAGGGTATAGGGTGGGTTCACACGCTCGCCTCTTTTGGAGGGTAGCTCCCCTATGTATTTGGTGGTGCATTTAGAAGGAGAGGAATAGCAGATCTTTTGATGGGGAGGAGTCTCCCATAAGAACTTCAAAATTCTGCATTATTAGCTTCATTTTTTTGTTGGGGTATGGGCAGATATTGTACATCTATAGAGAAGATCGTTGACTTTTTGGCCTCTTTGGGTCCTTGGGATCCCTCTTTAGGCTTTGGCTTCGGCCTCTATGCATTCTTGGGACGCGTTCCCCTTTTGAACGCTTTCTATACTACTTTACTTATAAAAAAAAAAGGTTAAAGGTAAATGAGATGTCTACAAAAATCTCTCAAGACTTAATCACATATCTAGGTTAAAGGTAAATGAGAACATAGGTGCCATCTTTGATATTGAGCGCAAGGTTTCACCTAGAGGTTCTGTATTACAGGCCAATCCTCCTCCACTAGTACCAATAGGTGGAATAGAGAACAGCTCAAAATTTGTTTTAATCTTGTTTATAAAAATTGGGGTTTTTAATAAAATGATTTTCAAAACAAAGATTTTACAATACAGTGAGTATTGATCGAATGGTCGATCAATTGAGAGTTTACAAGAATTTATTGAAAAATAATAGAAATAAATAAATCAGTAAGCTTCAATAGAAGGCTCGATCGGTCTCCTATAGTGGTTATAAATATGGGGTTATAGTCCGTCTAGGTTATCTATCATAGGAAAATTTTCAACTCTTTAAATATTATGGAGAGAATTTATATTTTTAGAGGGAGATTTGAGAATCAATCTAGAGTTCTTCATAGATATACCAGACTATATGTCATTGAGAGAATCAAAGCAAGGACCTGAATTGAAACTATCAGACAAAACATCAATCAGGTGGTTCGTAAAGAACAAATTGATCCAACATTACTTGTCATAGGGATCAGAAGTCCAATCATTTTATGTATAAAACAAAAAACAAAAAACAAAAGAGATCAAAAGTCCATGGAGAAGAAGATTGCATGAGGAGCGAGTCTGTCGATGGTTCAGTGGCAAGAGGATCTGGAATTGATCTTGCTTAAGTTTCAGTCAGGATGGACAAAGGGATTCTTGGATTGTCTAGTAACTTAGTTGTAACGACTTTCTCATAGTGATTTATTTATCTTCCAAGACCAAGTCTCATGGTTTTTACCTTTCTAGGGTTCTCCAAGCAAAAATTGTTGTCTCTGCTTTATTTCATTTATTGCTTTTATATGTTTATGTGATTACTTTGAGATAAGTGATTAACCAATCAACTGAATTTTAAATAAAAATTAATGGTAATTTAAACACCCACTCTAGATCCAGAATTTTAAATAAGGACTAATGGTAATATGAACACCCCCTCTAGATCTAATTAACTGCATGTACTCTAACGTATTGGAGCCTTGGGGATCCAATACTAAGAAGCACGGACACTCCAAAATGGGCAAAGAATCCGTGTCCGACACGTGTCGGACACGGACACGCGTCGGACACGCCCCGACACGTGTCGGACACGCCAAAAAACGTGTCTGGAATTTTTTTATTTTTTTTTATTTTCGGACACGGCTTGGACACGGCTCGGACACGGCACAGACACGGCTCGGACAGCTCGGACACGGCTCGGACAGCTCGGACACGGCTCGGACACACTTTTCTGGATTTTTTTTTTTTTTTTTTAAATTTTTAATGCTGATATGTTAATTTTTTTTTTTTTTTTTTAAATTTTTAATGCTGATATGTTCTATTTTTTGTTTGTACTACCCTAAAGACGATGATATATATATATACTAACCTAAAGATGCCACAATTCGCCGTGTCCGTGTCCTAAAGATGCTGATATATATATATACTAACATATCAGTGATATATATATATATTCCAACCTAAACATATCAGTGTTTTTTTTTTAAATTATTAATGCTGATATATATATATATATACTATTTGCCATGTCCGTGTCCTAATTTTTTTGGATTTGCCGTGTCGCTGTGTCCGTGTCGTGTCGTATCCGTGTCCCGTATCCGTGTCCGTGCTTCTTAGATCCAATACTTCGCAGCACCAAATGTGCATGTGGACATACATGCAGAGGAAGAACTGAAATGTTTGACTTAACACAGCATATAGATAGAATAACACAAGCAATTCTGGAAGTACATAAGAACAAACCTTATGCATTGAGATAAGAATATCACGCAAAGCCCCTACAGAGGCATTCTTTGAACGAAGAGAGAAAGAGTTTGAAAGTAGAGTAGCACAGTACTGCTCAAGTTGCACATTGGATATCCGAACAGGAAGCCAATACTCTACAAATCTAGAAGAGTCTGACTTGCAGCGGTACGCAACAAAATCTGACAACTTCTGCTTCAATTTAGCAAGATTATCATTGGAGTTGGTTTCCGATCCATCACAGGAATCCAAGTCACCAAGAGAATCAAGTAGTGACAACAGATTAAGGTGCTCAGCTATGGTATCCTGCAAATCCAGTAGGATTGTTAAGGCCAATCTTTGTTAATTAAAATAAACAAAGTGCAAGAGGAAATTTACCCTTATTTGACCATTGAGAAGGAGAAATCTAACATCAGTGGTTAGCATCTTAATTTTTTCAAAATGGGTTGAGATTCTAGAGCTTTGACACTCATCGACTATGATTGCCTCCCATCTTATGCATTCCAACATATCTAAATCCTGCAGAATAATATGTAAGACGTTAACTAGATGTCCATGGCAAGTGAACATAAACAACCTCGAAATGTGTCAGTTAAAATTCTTTCCTCATGAAAAAATTCAGAGAAAACAATCTGCACTACTCAACATGTTCTCCGAAAAATTAAGTAAAGTCCTTCGAACTCAGATTAACCAATGGGACTCGACCAGGGAATAACTTGTCAATCAACAAGAATTCTATAGCTAAAAAATCTCACATTAAAGATGTACCTCAACAACAGCTTCTGGAGGGGATAAAAGTACTTCAGACATTATGGACCCTCCTTCCTCATAAAACTCAAGTGTCCTGATACGTCTTCGCCTATCTTTATCTCCACTGTAAATTACGACATCAATGGATGGCGCCAAACGCAAGAACCCAGCTACCCACTGGGAAAGAACACTAGAAGGTGAAATGATGAGGAAAGGCAGACAAACTTCAGGCAACAAAGACAGAATAAATATGATCAGCGTCATTACTCGCTCCTGCAAACATAGGTTGTATAAATTAGTTTAGTGTGTCATAAATAAGCAACTACACCTTAAACTATGAGATAAAGATCAGATCAAAGCGACGATGTTCATCAACATGTAAAAATTTTGATGATGTCCATAAGAGGCTCAAGGAAGAGCAAATTCAAAGGAAGCAGACTATGAGCAATTAGTTTGATTTCAAGCAAGGAAACACTTAGAACTTTGCATACTTGAGTTTTTACTCACAATTAGTCTTATTTTGTCCTGTCTTTAATAAGTGGTTCGTTCACTCAATTTCATATATGTTTTATATCCGGAACTCAAATGGTATAGAGTGATTCTATCATGAGTCTATTTAGGAAATCATAGCCTGGTTCTTCAAATACAAACCCTAGTTGGTTTATTTGAGTTGCACAATTCAAAGTTTCCAAGTTTCTCATTTTGCATTCATAGTCTTACCAAGAATGGGAAACAGAGATTATTTAGTAATTTTTTTGAAGCTTTTGATGCTATGTTGGAATTGTGTAAGGAACCCTGACTCTAGGTGTTTCTTCTTCTTTACTTTTTTCACTTAACAAGCCTTCAAAACCAATGACCAGAGCTTGTTAATCTGTATTGCACGCTTGAAATCATATCTCCTCTGTGTCATATTGCATCTCCCTTCTAAGAACACAAACTGCTTTAAAGAAGTGGCATTTAATGTGTTGGAGAATAATTATATGAGTGATTTAAGCTATACTAGGGCATCAAGTTGTTGCCAAATTTGTATTTGAGTTTCTATGTAATTCCTTTATATAAAATACTTTTAGAGCAAGAAATTTCACTAGCTACAAGTCTTCTTCCCCAATTCACCTATAAATAGAGGTGGTTATTGTAAACAAAATCAAGAGAAAATGGAATAAAAGAGATCTAGCCCTTGGGCTTTGTGTGTCGTGGATGTAAGCCGTAGTGGCTGAACCACATTATATTTGTGTGTTCTTCATGTTTTACTTTCTCTTTCAACTTTTATTTTTCTTCCAACATAATGCAATCACATAAAGTGGGAAAGACAAAAATTCCAAATTCTTCCTTCTAAAACTTGAGGCTCACGATATTATTCTGTGCAGTACACTGACCTCTCAAATACGAAAATTCATGGGATATAAAAAAATAGAAAGAGAATATGTACTATGCCATGACACAGGGAAAATTTGTTAAGCCCATGCAAATACTTCTTTAAAAATTCAAAGCTAAACTCTAAAACCACAAAAGCATCAAAGTTACAGTTCATGTAGATTGTTAATGGCCACAGAAAATCCCCAAAACCTTATCTTTCCCTGGCTGTCTTTTTTTTTTTTCTTTTATTGGCAATAAGAATCAAAACCCAACCCCCTTGCTGCGCTTTTTAAATTGCCTTGAATACCTTAGGTCTCTTGCTAGAAGATTGCTCTCATCTGTTAAATTTGGATGTGGAAATAAGAAATGCAAATAGGAAAAGGGAAGAGAAAAAGATGGAGAACACAGGCATGTATATGGTTCGGCACTAAGGCCTACATCCTTGGACAAAGTGCCACTAAGGGCTACATTTCTATTATTCAGATTTATTTTGGTAGAGTACAAAGAGCCTATATATAGGCACGGTAAAGATAAGAAAATATGGAAGGTGTACAATAGTCAAAGGAGGCACCGTAATTGGTGGAGGATTTTGCTCCACCATTATATAAAAATATTTATAGTAGGAAGGAAATTACCTGATCATCATGATTAGTGGAAAATTTTGCTCCACAATTATATAGAAATATTTATATATTTCAACAATCCCCCTAAAGTAGGAGTATGAATATCATGAATGCCCAACTTGCTAAAGAAACGCCTCCAAAGATGATGAGAAGGTGTCCGGAACAAAGCCAGGTAATTGACCAGATCTTGCTGGTGAAAATGACCAGATCTTACTGGGAAAAATAAACTGGAACTCACCGGGAAAAATGGCCGGAACTAAGCCGGGAAAAGGCCGGAACAACACCGGGAAAAGACCGGAACGAAGCCAAGAAAACGGCCGGAACTAAGCCGTGAAAAGGCCGGAACAACGCTGGGAAATGGGCCGGAACAACATTAGGGAATGTCGAGGTGCTGAACCATCCGAAAAACGGACCGGAACTATGCCGGAAAAACCAATTGGAACTTGCCGGGAACTGGCTAGAACTACATCGGGAAAGGAATGTGAAGACATGGAGAATATGCTCTAAAATAATAATACCAATACTCCCCCTCTGATACCATGTTAAATTTGGATGCGGAAATAAGAAATGCAAATAGGAAAAGGGAGGAAAAAAAAGATGGAGAACATAGGCATATACATGGTTCGCCGGTTTGGCACTAAGGCCTACATGCATGGACAAAGAGCCACTAAGGGCCACATTCCTATCATTCAGATATATTTTGTTTGAGTACAAAGAGCCTATATATAGGAACAGTAAAGATAAGAAAATATGGAAGGTGTACAATAGTTAAAGGAGGCACCGTGATTGGTGGAGGATTTTGCTCCACCGTTATATTGACCGGATCACCATGATTGGTAGAGGATTTTACTCCACAATTATATAGAAATATTTATATATTTCAACATCATCGATTATTTCAAGATTCTAATCAAATCTCTCAAAGGATATAGAGGAGAGGATTCTTTTAAAAGGAAGGCTAAAAGTTCTTTTACAGAGAAGAGATATGTTCTTTGTCACTAAATCCCCAATACTGTTGCTTCTTGCTTCTGGAAATGTGAAAATCCCCTAAAGAACTTTCTGTAGGGACCACCAACGTCTGTGGCCTAATGGTATCTCCTCTCCTTTCAAAATGAAAGGTATAAGGTTCTAGTCTCTCCAAGAACATTGTGAGAACATTGTGAGAGTTCTTTGCCAGGGAAGGAAGGCATTTAGTACAGGAATAGCAATTGTCTCCAACTAGTCCACTAAATTATTATTACTAAGTAACACAGCCAAGCAATCTTAGACTGTCCATCTAATGCACAATTTAGATAGCCAAAAGATCATACACATCTCCTCAACAATTTATTCTGGGATACATAGAAACCTCCCACTTTATAATAATGAAGTAGCAAAACTTGGAGCTCTAACAAAAAACTAATGAAAAACCTTTTATTTCCAGCCTCTGAGGTCCCGTAGAATACCTACATTTCACGAATGTAAATGTCCTATCATGAACAAGGTAAGGAAATACATTAAGGATCTAGGAAGAAGAGTTGATTTCGTTTTTTGGTTACAAATAAGAATGTTATATAAAGATAATTAAATAAAAATACTTTAAATGAGTCCTCATCTCATTCAAAGTAACTTCAGTAGAGTAAACTAATAATTTTAGAATGGAAGTTTTTTTTTGATAAATAATCAATTCATTAAAAAAGTTCAAAAGGGGAACGCGTCCCTACAAGATCACAAAAACCTGGGTACCCTAAGGCCCCAGGAAAGCCAAAAACTCAACAGTCTCCTCAGTAGAGGAACAAAGTCTACCCGAACCCCCAAAAACGAGAGAGCTAATAACAAAAGATTTCAGAACAATGATGGAAGATTCCTCTCCATCAAAGGATCTTCTATTCCACTCCCTCCACAGACACCACCAAAGACACAGCGGCGCCATCCTCCAAAACTCTCAAGCCTGTGCTCCCACCCAACCCCCTCTCCAGGTGCCCATCAGACCTCTCGTAGATCTAGGCATGACCCAATAAACTCCAAATAGACCTAACAAAAGATTCCAACAATCAACCGACACCGGACAATGCAAAAGAAGATGGTCAACCAACTCGCCATTACACTTACACATGCAACACCAATTCACCGTGATATGCTTTCTCCTTCTCAAATTATCCAGCGTCAATATTTTACCCCACACAACCGTCCAAGCAAAGAAAGCCACTTTCAATGACACCCGAGTTAGCCACACTGCCTTCCAAGGGAATACCACCCCATCTGAGTCCAAAAGGCATCCGAAAAAAGATCTCACACTAAACATACCCCTAGAAGAAGGAATCCAAACAAGAGAATCCCTACCTCCTCCACGGATCACCTAGCTATACAACAACTCTAGAAAACCAAAAACATCATCCATCTCCTAGTCCTGAAAAGATCGCTGAAAAAGCACTTCACAAACCGATCTCCCGCTATCAAGGCGATAGCAATCAACCACCAAGGCATGCCTATTAGCCTCAATCCTAAAAAGTCTAGGGAAAGAGCATGCTAAAGTGCGATCTCCACACCACACATCCTCCCAAAACCGAATCTCCATACCATCATGAACTCTAAATCTGACATGCTGAGAAATCTCATTACATCCCTTCTAAATGGCTTTCCAAACACCAACCCCTCCAGGGATAGACACCACAGCAGAGCACCAACCCCCCTCTCCTCCCCAAAGCAACACAAGATCACCCTCCACAATCTATCCCGCTCAATACCAAACCTCCACAACTACTTACCTAACAGGCCCTGTTGTAAGGCAACAGACGCCTAATCCCAATTCCTCCGAACTTAACAGGCTTACACACCTACTCCCAATGAACCAGATGATACTTAAATTCATCCCCCAAACCTCCCAATAAAAAGTTCCTTTGAAGTCTTTCAATACAAGCAGCAACCTAGGACAGAATCTGGAAAAGGGATAAAAAAAATATGTGGGATTGTGGGAATACTCGACAAAGTGTTTTTCTTTTTTTTTTTATAAGTGTTTTTCTTTTTTTGACAAAGTGTTTTTCAACAAGGTAAACCTCCCCCCTTTTGATAAATATTGCTTCTACCACACCGCAAGCCTCCTTTCCACCCTCTCCACCACCGGATCCCAAGCACCTACAATCCTCGAAGAACCCCCCAGAGACAAACCCAAGTAAAGGATCGAAAAAGAACCAACTCCACACCCAAGAACAGAAGCTAATTCCTTAATCTCCGAAACCTCCCCCACTGGAATCAAAGCGCTCTTCCCCACATTCATTTTCAAACCCGAGACTGCCTGAAAACATATCAACACCGACCTCAAATATCTCATCTCAGACACCTCAGCCTCGCAACAAACAAGAGTATCATCCGCAAATAACAGGTGGGAAATCTCCACTGATGCATATCATCCCTTCCCACCTAAAACCCCTGATGAAACCCACCTCCACAGCCCTCCCCATCAATCTACTAAGCCCCTCCATCACAATGATGAACAGAAGTGGGAATAATGGATCTCCCTGATGCGAACCTCGCGAGCTACCAAAGAAACCAGTCGGGAACCCATTCACCAACACCGAGAATCTCGCTAAAGAAATGCATAACTTAATCCATTTCCTCCATTTTTCCCCAAAACCCATCCTTGCCATCATATATAACAAGAAACTCCAACTATCATGATCATAAGCTTTCTCCACATCCAACTTACACAAAACCTTGGAACCCACTCCTCAATCTATCATCCACACACTCCCTAGCAATAAGGACAGAATCCAAAATCTGACGCACTCCTATGAAAGCATTATGAGATTCTGAAATAACCTCATCCAAGACCACCCTCAATCTCAAAGAAAGAACTTTGGCTATTAGTTTATAAATGCATCCCAACAAACTAATAGGTCTAAAATCCTTCACATCTACGGGTACCCCTTCTTCGGAATAAGGGCTATAAATGATGCATTCATGGATTTCTCAAATCGCCCCTGAGTATGAAAACTACCCATCACCTCGCCCCTAAACACATCCCAACTCTTAAAAAAGAAACCTCATAGTGAAACCATCCAGACCCAGAGCTTTATCTACAATTTCTTGGCGTCTTCAGCACTTCCTCCTCAAAAAACGGAATCTCCAGACCCTCCCTGTTTTCCTCAAAAACCCTATCAAAATTAAGTCCATCTAGCCGGGGTCTCGTGGAAACAGGCTCCGTAAACAGTCTCTGATAGAAACGGGCAATCCCCCTGCAAACATCGTCCTCCCTACTCAACACCACCCCATCCACAGTGAGTCCCTATATGATTACCCCTCTTATGAGTATTAGCCAACCTATGGAAGAACTTAGTGTTCCTGTCCCCCTCCTTGAGCCATAATGCTTTGGATTTCTGTCTCCACAAAATCTCCTCCGACACAGCAATCTCATCCTGGCACGCCGCTCTCCTACGCCATGGAAGTTAAAAGTTCAAAGCATAAGAAAAACAAAAATCAAAGACAATATACATTATTTTGGCTTCAAACTTTTTGCTTAGTTCATCCTTATAGTACACATGATGATTATAGTGTTCGTGGAACACTATGATCATCATATGTACTATACGGAGGGTGATTGTAAGTAGGCATGGGGAGGAGCATGGAGGATGGTACTCCCACAAGGTGAGAATCCCATATGGGGTTGGGGGTTGGAAACACATTCGGAAGGGTTAGGATGAATTCTCTAAGCACATTAGGTTTCGTGTTAGGAATGGAAGGAGTTTACGTTTTTTAGATGACATTTGGTGTGGAGATCGGTCCCTTGCCGTCACTTTCCCTAGACTTTATCGGATTGCTACTGATAGGCATGCCATGGTGGTTGATTGCTATCGTCTTGATAGTGGAAGAACGTTATGAGATGTACGCTTCAGGAGCCTGTTTCAGGATTGGGAGATGGAGGATGTATTAGGCTTTTTGGAGCTGTTGTGCCGTCAGGAGATAGCAAAGGAGGATTCTGATTTGTGCTTTTGGGTTCCAACTGCACATGGACATTTCTAGTAGTGGACGCGACTACTAGAGGAATGTTCCACATTATGTGTGGTGGTGCATTTGGAAGGAGAGGAATAGTAGAATGTTCGAAGGGAAGGAGTCGTCCACGGCTACGCTGAAACTTCATATTATTCGCTCTCTATTTAGTTATGTGAAGAGGAGTTCTTGTTCCTCCTCCGATGATTTAATCATTTTTTTGGATTCTTTGGGGCCTTAGATCCCAGTTCCACTTTTGTATAAGAGATGCGTTCCCCTTTGAACGCCTTTTATTTTTTTTTTGATAAGTAAGAATTTATTTAAAAAGATCAAAAAGGGGAGCGGAAACCAAAGATACAAAACAAAAGGCTAAAGGGCGCCTTAGACCTTCAGAGAGGCCAAAAAAACAATAATTTCCTCCGTAGATCTATAATCTCTCCCTGAAACCCAACAAAAAAAAGTACAAATAATAGAGAACTTAAGCATAGAAACAAGCTTCTCTTTTCTATCAAAATATCTCCTATTTCTCTCGAGCCAAATACACCACCAAATACAAAGCGGCGTAGCCCTCCAAGCATCTTGAATGGAAGCCCCAACGGATATGCCTCTTCAAGCTTCAATCAACCCTCTAGAAGAACAAGGCATAACCCATTGAACCCCAAATAAACCAAGCATCAAATCCCAACAATCTCTGGCCATACTACAATGTAAAAGGAGGTGATCAACTGACTCCCCATTGCACAAGCACATATAACACCGATTGACCACCACTTGATTCCTCCTCCTCAAATTGTCCTGGGTTAAAATCTTGCCTAGGACTGAGGTCCAAGCAAAAAAGGCGACCTTGCGGGGAGCCTTGGAACGCCAAATAGACTTCCATGGGAAGGGTTCTCCGTGATGAAACGAAAGGCATCTAAAAAAAGATCTAACCTCAAAACGGCCTTGCGAGTTAGGAACCCAGAACCAACAATCCGACTCCCCAAAAGAGATCACCTGGCTATACAAAAGCTCCAGAAAGCAAGAAACATCCTCGATCTCCCAATCCTGAAAATGCCTCCTGAACTGAACATCCCAAGTCAGTCTCCCGTTATCAAGATGATAACAGTCAACAACCATGGCCTGTCGGTGAGAAGCAATCCTATAAAGCCGTGGGAAAGCGAGAGCAAGAGGGCGTTCCCCACACCAGATATCCTTCCAAAAACTGATCCTCCTTCCATCTTTAACTCGAAAGCGAACATGCTTGCAGAAATCATCCCAACCCCTCCAAATGAAATTCCAAACTCCCACCCCCCTTGGGCCACACCTCGCCAGAGAGCACCACCCACCTACTTTCCCCAAATTTGCTCTTAATAACTCTCCTCCAAAGCCAATGCCTCTCTATCCCAAACCTCCATAGCCATTTACCAAGGAGAGCCTTATTAAAAGGCAACAACCTCCTTAACCCTAAGCCTCCAAACCGAATTGGATGGCACACTTGCTCCCACCGAACCAAGTATCTCCCCCCCCCCCCCCCCCCCCCCAAAAAGGAAGTTGCATTGCAATCTTTCAATTCTCTCGGCCACTGAAGAAAGAATCTGAAACAGAGAGATGAAGTAAGTAGGAAGGCTAGAGAGGGTGCTCTTAATCAAGGTAACCCGACCCCCCTTGGACAGGTACTGCTTTTTCCAACCCGCCAACCTCCTTTCAAACCTATCGACCACCGGATCCTAGCTCCCCACACATCTCGAAGGAGCACCCAAAGGCAATCCTAAGTAAGAAATGGGAAAAGAGCCAGTACAGCATCCAAGGATCTGCACAAGCATCTCAATCTCAGGAACCTCCCCAACAGGCACAGGCAGACTCTTTCCAACATCAACCTTAAGGCCAGAGACCACTTGAAACCAAATCAAAACGCATCTCAAGTGCCTCAACTGGGACGCGTCCGCATCACAAAACACAATAGTATCATCCGCAAACATCAAATGGGAGACCGCCAATTGACTAGCAACATCCCTGCCCACTTGAACACCTTTTATTCAATTATTACTTATCAAAAAAAAAAAAAAAAAAAAAGCACCATTCTTTCCAAGAAAATGAGACATTGATTGATGCCTAAGCCCTTCGCTTATAAAAAGCTACTCGATTACAACAGTAATCATACAAAATCACCCATGTCCATGGAGATATCCAAATTTGCTTAGGAGATCTGAACCTTGGAAAAGGTATTTCTTTTTTTATGATTTCTGCATCTGCATAAGCAGAGGCCAACTATCCAAATAAAAAGGCATTACTACTAGGCTCTGTTACAATTGCAAAACTGTCAGAGTTGGCTGTAATTAATATTCGATTGGCTGTGTATATTTGTAGTTTACTTTTGAGTATATCTTCTCCCCCAAAATGTATTTCTACCTTCAGATCAATAAAATATTTTTGATAAGTAACATTGAAGGAGCTGCAGGAAACTGGAAACAGGTGGAGCTGCTAACGTACAGGGGAAGCAAACCAAAAGCTAAAAAAAAAAATAAAGGAGAAAGATATCAAACAAAATAATTGATGGCCCTAGCAAAGAACTTCAATTTCTTCAAAGAACTCAACACCTTTTAATTACTAAAATATTTGTTAGATATTCTGCTCCGTTTATCCCAAGAATAAGCAAATCATTACTAAATATTATGCTTTTATCAGTCACAAACCACAAAATAAGATGACTGATTGTAAACCACACCTGGCCGTCAACAACAACAGCATGCTGACCCTTCTGCCAATACTCAAGTAGCTTCTTAACAGAATTTAAATGACTGTTATCAATTCCAGGAGAAACTCCAGCTGGAAGCTTCGGAAGTTTGATTGAGGTTTCTTTCTTACTCTGCAGTATCCGCAAACAGTAAGTTAAAAAAGCATAGGATAAGTATAAAGTAGACACAGATTAGCATCCAATAACAGGTTAAATTACGTTAGCAGCAAAAAAGTGGTAAATGGTGCACTTTTATTGGAACTACCAATGAACAGAAAAACCAAAAAGGAACTGACATGGACAACAATGCTTGGTACCTCAGTATCTATCTAAACTAAACCGGGTTACTCTGTTGCCCCCATGTTGCAAGGAATTGTAAATTGGAAGGTGATTTCATTTGAAGGTTATACATATTCCTGGAGAAGTATTTTATTGTCCATAACTTTGCCAAGCAGGAATCATCCTGAAATGCTTTACTTGTGTCTGTAAGAAGCATATGCAAATGTTAAGGAGGGATATTGGATGAATACAGATCAAATTAACCGAGATCTAAGGTCATCACTCCTCAATAAACCTCAGCTTGCCTATGAAGAGTAACCACGAGGGTATACGCTTTGCACCAGTCCCATATCTGATTATATCTTTTCTTCTATAAATTCAGTTATTACCAATTCTTTTTTCAGTTATTTTCACCTATGGAATTTGATCTTGCATTCTCAAATGACAAGTCTTTAGAAAAGACAAATGAAGACAGAGATTGCATTGTTTAATATGATAATATAGACAAATAGTGGATCTTGGTAGTTAACTAAAATTTTAGGATTCATTGGCTGGTGTATTGGTAAAAGTTCAATCTGACAAGTGCAGGGACAAGTCCTATCTAAAAAAAGCCACTTCCTGCAGAAGTGTGACAATAACTGGGTAATGGTTTTAATTTATTTATTTATTTATTAAAATTCAAGTAATTAAGGAATTCTTAACAGTCAGTCTGTCTCCTGAATCTAGCTCACAAAATGTCCACCCTCTAAGTCAGGATCATTACATGACCAGATTCAAGACATACAGGATCATGCCTCATCTATGCATCAATAGAACTTGTTTAGCAAATCCGTGCCAGGTGAATGAAGGATGCAGTGAGAACCTGCTTCTGCTTACAAGCTTTGAAATTAGACTTCAAGTTGAACTTCTTTGGGTACTAGTCTAATATCTATGAGTTGAAATCCTAGTCAGCTATATAACATCTAAATGCACAATCGCAAGTAATAATAAAAATTCAACCAATAAAAAACATGTCCCTGTTCTTCCTAGTTTTGCTAGTGCCCAGTTCGTGTGTGCTCGTAATTGTGGCTAAAACAATTTCAGATGAATCTTACTAGATCCACATACATAATAGTATGTACTAAAGATTCAAGCATGAAAAATGAACCAAGAAGATTTATTGGCTTCCATATCAAATTCCACCAAAGGCACCTCATTAACTCGAGACAAAAGAGCAGCTCTCTTGGCCTTCTCGCAACGATGTTCATACTCCCTTATGAGCCTCTGGGTGTGAGGTGAAAACAGAAACGAAGCATTCTCTAACTCCCAAGTAGCATCCTCATAATCAAGGCCACACCATTTAACAAGCCACTCATAATGGGGATCTGAATTATCGCCAGCATGCCCACTGCAATTCCCATTGTGATGCACAGGAAACACTAATAATCTTTTCTTTAGCAAACGATGTGGCATAGTCCACTCTTTCCACCTTGTGACCTGGAAAGAAAAAAACTTATTAAAAAGAAGCAACACAAAATTGGCATAACTGAATAATCAAGATAGGACCTGTCAAGCCAGATCAGTATTTATGATGCACCTGATTCTTCCGATTAAATTTTTCAACAAGCAACGGTGCTTCAAGATGCACTAGAGTTTCTGGTACCCAGCGGTTGTGAAAATGAGCAAGACCTTTATATTTAACAAAATACTGCTTCTGCCTTGGCAATCCTATAACCAAAATACCAAATTAATAAGAGAAATTTAAACTGAAATCCCAAATTACTTGGAGAAACTTAAGAGAGAAAATTTATATATGCTAGGAGAAGATATGGAAACGCAAAAAATGAATTCCTATCAATATTTATTATAATATGCTAATCTTTCTCGTTATGAAAATGAACATGATATAATGTGTTAAATGTTAATTTGTCCATGCCTTCAACATCTGGCACCTCCACTTCTCTAGTGTCCCAAATTGACTCTATTCCTTCCGAAACTGAGTGGACACCATACTCAATCTTTTTTTTCACACACCACTTACAGTGCCAAACTCCCAGTGGAACATCATTCAATGGAGGATCTAAACAAGAGATATGGTATGTTCTCTTGCAACCTTTTCCATCACAGCACCTGAAATTGTATATAAATTATAAGAGACAAATCATAGCAACAAAATAAAGAAAATGAATTTGATTAAAACAGTTCAAGATTGAATTATGTGACAAATAACATTAGGGGGCACTGCGCACTCCCTTTTGAGCGTTTTTGATGAAATATTACTTATCAAAAAAAATAAAAAAAGAATTCGTGTCCAAAACTTTCTGAACTAGTCATAGCTGATACATAATATAGTCAATACAAAGATTTAAAATTCTGAACTAGTCATAGCTGATAAATAATATTACTAGTTAAATATCATATAATAAAAGCAAAAGGCTTACCAAAATATACAAACAAATCCACACAGCATAACTTAGTATCAACAAAATCATTTCTAAAAGAATAAATATTGCTTTCTCTAGCTCTTTTCTTTTCTTGTTTTCGCTGGGGGTAGGGGGGTCGGGGAGCATGGTCCCTGCCTGCCTCCCTTACTGTCCACCACTGCATAAATACTATATTTATATATTTGGATGCTTCCTATAAGTCAACCTTACATTAGAAACAGTCTCGGTATCCTATATGAATCTCTATAACTTAAATATCATCAAATTGTTTACTATTAGGGAGAATCAACATCATCAAAATATTGAAAAGGTCTGTAGGCCCAAGATGAAAAATAAATAAATATATAAAAAGGAAAAAATAATAATAATTAAGCCTATCGTAGATATATAACATATTTTCTGAAACTAGAAACTCATATCTAAAAAATATCAACTATATGACATAAACACTCCTCTGAAAAATGTGCACTGACACAAAGGGGTGAAATATTTCACCATATGTTGCAGTATTTTTACAGCTAAAGAGCAAGTAAATCTAAATAATTTTCCTAAATATGAAAACCAAAGTAACCAACTTCTCTCCCATCAAATTGTACATTTGAGTTTTAAATAACAGGTTCCTGCCTCTTTTTAATTTCTTCAAAATATATTCCACAACAGACTAACAATAAATAAATAATTTGGAAAAGTAGTGTTTAAGAGGCATTTACCAAGCTAATAAAAAGCTTTAACTTTGTGAGTTCATCCATAAAGACCATAACTAATAATACTTGCAAAAATAAATGCACATATGAAAAAGTTTACCCACAGGAGCTTTCCACCAAGCCTGCAGATTACACACGTATTCTGGTCACTCTCAGAATCCAGAGGAGACTCCCGATTCGTATTGCCATCACATTTGTCAGCAAGTCCCGGTATGATACTGGATTCAAGTTCCCCTCTATCCTAATGCAAGGCATGAAAAAAGGGCAATATTTACTCCATGATTAACAACTCATCTAACATAAACTGTTAAACAAAGTTCCACAGCTTTGTCATAAAATGATAAGGGAAATCACATCATAAAGTATTTAGCATGTATGTAGTAGCATGACCAAAAATATCTCTCTTTTTGTGATTATTAGAATCTCTAGCATGTCCTAAAAAGAAATGAAAAAAATAAAGATAATAAAACAAAGATGTACAAGAGGTCCAAATTATTACAAAATAAGCATTTATATTGGGATGAAAGGGGAAAAATTAACGGTGTTACAAGTCCACTATCAGCCCAGAGGCCCTAGTCACTATTGGGACAACAGCATGCTTAACCAAGTGCTGATGAAGATCAGACTTCCGATGCTGACCTCAGTCATGCTTGGGAAGCTTAGGATGTTGGTTGCCCTACCTCAGTTCGTCCTGTCTACTATTTACACTTATATATTTCTTTTTATAGCTTCACTCCATTGCATATATATTACAATTTAGCAAATTTTGGGCTTCAGTGTAATTTTCTCATAGCGAAGTCATAAAGTACAGTCAGCAAGGGAACAATAACAGTTCTTATCCCTCTCCAGTGTGAGATCTTGCTGAATATGTGCCACTGTGAGAGCCAAGACAACGATTTTTCTGTTAGGGTCATGACGTTGTTTGTGCCAAGAATCAGCAAACGCATCCGATTTAGAGTTAGGAGTGGGAGATAGGTTAGGTTTTGGGAGGACAGCTGGTGCGGGGACTTTGTTTTGGCTTATAGGTTTCCTCAGCTCTTCAGAATTTACACGAACAGATGCGCTCGGGTTACTGACTGTTATCGGCTTGATAATTGGAGGTCGATTTGGGACGTGCAATTTCGCAGATATTTTCTTGATTGGGAGCTTAGTTCCTATCTTTACTCTACGGACAGGTGGTGGAGGGTGAGGGGATGGATGAGATGGTGTGGGCAGGTTCCTCAAGACGAACTTTTGAGGTTAGGGCCTTCTATCTGAGCGTAACTGAGATTCCAGATCCTTCCTTTCCTTGGAATGCAACTTGGAAGTCCAAAGCTCCATTGAAGGTGGATTTTTTGCTTGGACATCTGCCCTCAGAAGTATTCTCACTCTTGACAACCTTAGGAGACAACAAATTGTGGTGAACTGGTGTTGTATGTGCAAGCAGACAGAAGAAACAGTGAACCACCTCCTTCTTCATTGCCCAGTGGCGAGGGACATTTGGTCTATGTTCCTAGTAGCGTTTGGCATGTTTTGGGTGTTTTCCTGTTCTATGGTGGACATGATTGAGGCTTGGAGAGGGTGTATAGTGGAAAGCTGAGCCAGAGACGCGTGGAGGGCCACTCCCTTTTGTTTATGGTGGGGCTTGTGGCGCGAGAGGAATAGGAGATCCTTTGATGGAGAGGAAACTCCTATTCGGTCTCTCAAATACAATATTTTGTCTACTTTCTTTTGGGTTTATGGGCGTGATTGTAAAACAATGGGACATCTTTTGGATTTTGTGGATAGCTTGAAATTATAGTGGCAGCCTATGGCGCCTTGTGTATTCTCTTGGGAGCGCTCCCCTTTTGAGCGCCTTTAATGAATATATATATATATATATATATATATTCAGTCCCACACAAGTATAGCACTAACAAGGATGATGCAATTCCTATAAAAGCACCCACACCTTCCTCCTTTCATTCAGTCAAACAAATCACGTGCAGATGGAGTCATTGTGTGACCGCAAGTGTAAACAAATTTTAGACTTGTGCAAGCACCGCCAATGTTACATGGACTTGGGTATGTTTGTTGGGTGGGAGCATGTATCCATGCGTCTGATGTATCAAATTCCCATACAAAAAGACACATGGACATTGTTAAATATTCATATTATTGAATATTTTATTTTATTTTTTGGAGTAAAATAATATCTTTATGTAACATATTGCTCGATATGGGCATTTTACTGATGTAAGCAGAAGCGATAAAGTTATTCACAAGGAATAATTTACTTTGAACCCACAAAGTAGAGTGTTTTGAATCCACAAAACAAGAGATAAATTCATAAAGAGTTCTGAAATATTATTAATAAAAAGGTTAAAATGTTGCTCTTGCAATACATGAATATTTATAATAGAGAAAACCTAACACTAGAAGGAAATTAAAATCTAATCCAACAAGGAAACTAATCCTATAAATAAGCATAAAAATAATCTCTCTAAAAAATCTGGAAAAAAAATAGAATAAGAAACCTAATAAATAAAAAATACTAAATATAAAATTTTAGAGCAATCCGAGTTCGTTAAGGCCTTGAACAAAAATCCCGAAATATTAGCAGGCCTCCTATAAGACAATAAAACGTGATTTCGGAGCCCTAATCGAAGGTTTTCAACCGAAAACCAGCATGGCCCACAAGCTAAAGCTAGTGAGTTTTTCTCAATGCATAGTTTCCACCCAAAAAACACTACTGGTTTGTCGAAAACGGACTTGTCAAACTGCTTATCGAACTGTGCAGAATTTTGTCCAACATCATTTACCCATTTTGAAGCAATAATATACTACAATTGAATTATTGGACAATCTTTTTAGGTGCATGTCCAACAAAATATGTTGGGACACATATCCCATACCCATGTCCTAGACTCCTAGCAACGTACATCGAACACAAGTATTTCACCTACTTTTGAAGAGTCCATATAGCAGTACCGCCTACGGATGCAAAAAAAACCCCACCGCGGTGGATAACCCACCCTGCTCCACCCCGTTTAAATTGGTTTTGGGGACCCGTTTATTTAAATGGGGTTGGGATGGTTAGAGGTGAAAAAACCAAACGGGTTCTAGGCAGGGAGGGGGGAGGGTCGCCCTGCCCCGTTTATATTATGATATTACAATTTTACCATTATATGTTTATATTATATATGGAAATAACCCTAAGTATATATAATAAGAAACCCTAGCCTACTTAAACTAACTCTAATTTCATTACAACCGCACACCTGAACTCCATTCCCACCTTTGGCCCTTCTAGTTCTAGACTTCAAGAGATTTCAAACTGTTCATCACCATCTTCGCCATTGATTCAACCCTAGCCTACGAGTGTTCATCGCTATCTTCGCCATCTATTGGTGAAGGAGATCAAAGGCTTCAAAGTTGATCTGACCATTGATTCATCACCATCTTCCAATCTCTCTAATCGATCTATCCATCCCTCCAAATTTCAAATGTATTTTTATTTATTTATATAGACTTGTTTATGTGCATATATATATACACACACACACACATAACTGCACTTATATATATGATAGTATACACAACTTCATTAGTTGATTAATCTTTGTACTTTTGTATTGTATGTTGCATGTAGTTTGTAGTTACTTTATCCAGATTTAAACGGGGTGGGGCGGTTAAAGGCGTGGGGCGGGGCGGGGCGGGGCGGGGTGGAGGAGTGATTTTGTAAACGGTTATGGGGGGTATTAAATTAAACAGGGACGGGGATGGGGAAGGGGATCCCCGCCCCAACCCACCTTGTTGCCATCCCTAGCACTGGCAAACGTAATTTGAGTGGTTACAGTTTTGTGAGCGAATTACATAGTTTAACCTTGACTGGACTCATCTCAATCCAATTTCTTGTTATTTATGCACCCTGGCCTGGGATCATGAAAGATTTATAATAGAGCTTTCCTTTCTCAACCAAGGTTTTAAAAAGCAGTCACGGCCGCTAATGCGGTCACATTCACAGCATCCATGCAAGTTGTAACCGGTATTACATAACGCCCTAGCCAGGGAGCATGAAAGGTTTAGAATAGAGGTTTCCTTTCTCAACCAAGGTTCTAAACGCAATCATAGCCACCGATGTGATTGCGACCGCAGTGTCGCTATCTCGGACTATAAGGGGGGTTATATGACGGGTATCAACCGTCAAGGCCATGGTTCAACACTAGAAAACATGATCAAAGTGAACCAATTTGCAAGTGTGTGGTTGTTTTAAAACTTGATGTCTGACTCCATTGATGGACTCACTACTCCATTGGAGGTTCTAGGATTAAATTTGTATTCCATTTTCTCCATCTTTGACATGGTAAACGTGTTAAACTCGACATTGGATTCAAAATAAATAGGGAACCACACTACTTTAGGAAAAAAAAAAAATTAGCTAATAATATTGTGGTCAAAACTCCTATTAAAAAATTGAGTCGAGTAGTTTGTTGCTCAAGCTCTCCTTAATAACACAATGAGATTCAAATGAAAATTGGGCTCGACTCATTTACCTACAAGCAAGCTCAAGCAAGCTTCTTCCTAATTCCTCTTAAATCGAGAATGACTAGCTTTGGTTCATCTTACAATCCTCTATCTAAATATCTAATTCATGTCATGTCGTGGCCATCCAATAATGCAAGATCAATAAATAAATAAAAATAACCATTATAACATTCTATTAGCTTCCTTCTTTATATGTTATCAGATCTCAAAGGAAACTTAATGAGAATGTGTTCAGAAATAGGAACTTATAAAAAGTTTTAAAAACGATGAAAACTGGGGTAGAAAAAGGAAACCAACCTTAGTAACGGAGGTGTCACATAGATCATTGTTTAATGTCAAGTTGCAAGAACAGAGCTCCTGTGGCGGTGAATCATATCCAACCCTACAAGATATGAAACACAAATTGATTTACATCTTTATTATTTAAAAAGAAAGAACAACGATATGGAATTTGGAGTGCAAACACCAATTCATTTAATAAACAACGTGAGAAGATCGACAGGGTATGAGGTTCATTCGAGTTTGACAGGTGCAAGAAAGGACCACTTTTCCATATTTGTGAAGTACTGTAATTTACAACTCTTATCATGTAGCAACAAGATCATCAATTGACAACTCTTATCAAGTAGCAAAAAGATCTAAACTGTTCAGATTGGAAGATGACATCCTTAGAAAATAACATCGAGGCTTACGGCAACATGCTCCACAAATTTGTGGTGACACATTTGCTAAATAGCAAGATTTCATCTTCAAACGTGTTGATATATTCAAAGACAGTTTTGAATACTTGTTAAGAAACACAATCTGTATAAATTGAAAGATGAAATTTTTTTATTCAACAGCATACTGACCTGCATGTCCACTTTATACAATTACAATGACATAAAGAGTTCCACCCATGTAAAATATACAAATTGCTATGTCTTTTCGATTTTATTTCGCTAGTTTTTATTGTTGGAATTCATTTTTGGCATCTTGTACATGCATGGAGTTAAAAGATCTAATTTTTCAAGCACTTTTCTTTTAACCCAGAATTAAAATTGAGACACACAACTAATTGAGACTAAGCTGTTGAAATAGTTTTTGATTGATTAAACATAGTCTTTTTCATTTAACTTCGGTTGGTGGGTAATTCTCTTTTATTTTTTCATAGATAAGAAAGATTTCATAAAAATGTTCAAAAGGGGAGGCTCCCAAAACAGACAACCGCCGTCCATGACGACACTAAAGCTTTAAGCTATCAACAAAATCCAAAAGACAATCCACTAACATACAATCCCACCCATTTACCCAAAAGCATAAAGAAGAAAGTATACTATACTTAATAGCCCAAATAGGAGACTCCACACCCTCAAAGCATGAGGACCTGTCTCTTTTTCCATTTTTCCCATTTTCCTTTTTTTGACATTTTAGAGTCTCAGGTCAAGTGTTCGGGAATTTTTTTCCAATACTTTGCATTTATTATTTTGGAACATATTGGACATAAATATTTCATTTGGGACACACTGGACATCATAATTTATTTTGGGGTGATTGTATTATTATTTTCTAGATATTTTCTTTTTGAGGGGCCTTTTTGCAATTTTGGAAGAAGTGGGGGCCCATGGGTGACTTTAGTGTCATTTTTGGCATATATATGCATATACATATGTTGGAGGAGAGAGAGAGAGAGGGGGGGAGCAGCCAAGGGGGCCGGATCCCCCTCCCCCATTCTCTCTCTCTCTTCTTTTCTTCTTTCTTCTATTTCTTTCCCTTTTCTTTTCTTTTGTATCCAAGCTTCAAGGCTTGGTATCATCTACCTCCGTTGAGATTCGTGACTCGTCGTAGAAGGGTTTTATGTCGAGGACACCAAGGGGAGCAAAACCCTTGCAGGGATGATTTCAAAGTCGGATTTGGAAGCTGCCCCATAGGAGGGTTTAACGTTCTCCTCGTCATCCTCGTCGACTCTTCAAAATTGTAGCTCGATTGGAGCACTCTCACTTTTGGAGCTTTTTTAGATTTTCATCTCAATGAGATGGGGGGTGTTGCGTATGTAAGGCTTTAATTCCTTTGAGTTTTGTGAGTTTAGATTATGTATGCATGCATATGTGTGTGTGTATATTTAGAAGTCTGCGTTTGGGTTAAAAGGCTTTAAAAATGATAATTAGTGATGTAATTATTTAATTCTATGCCTAGAATGTTTCTTGGGTACGTTGTTGTTATTAAAGTTATTAGGCAAGGAGCTTATTTGATTTTGTAAATTTCATATATGTGTATACGTGTTAATTACTTTGAGGCTATATGGATGATATTGCGAGCTAACTTTTGCAAGTATGATTATGTGGATATCTATGTTGTAGTAGATTTGATAAATTGCCCTTCTAAGTATGATGATATATTGCTTAATGTGGAATCATTGCATTAATGAGTAGGCCATGATAGCATTGGACTTTAGGGCATGATTTGTATGGATAGCGTGAGCTTATGTGCGCTTGTGAAGTGCAATTTGGTTATATATCGGTATGTGCTTACCTTATGAAATTGGATGATGATTTTGGGATATTCTCGAGGATTTTATTGTACGGTTTGATCTGTAACAACTAGGGCTTAGCGCTAGCAGGCGAGCTCGGACTCTCCAACTTTATAGTGGCCACTTGGCTGATTCCCTGCAGGTTAATAGTCCGAAAACAACTACAGTTCATTACCAGTGGTCTTATTCCGAAAGAACCATTTTACCGGTTCATGCAATGTGTGTGACTGGGGGTGCATGTGTAACAAGATATCCCTCTCCTCTGTTGATTTCGAATCTATTGTTAAGTTGGCATACATGTGTAGTTGCAACTTGGTTTATTGTTGTTATTTCCAACTCCAGTTTTTGTTGCAAGTTGGCATCCATGTGTAGTTGCAACTTGAATCCTTATTTTATTTCATTTGCTACGTATATGCTTATTAGAAATGGAATGGATGATGCATATTTACATTGAGGTTTATATAATGAAATGGATATGTCTAAGTACAATTGGTAGCTTAGGATGATGCTTTTAGGATTTTCCTCGGAATTAGATGTTAGGGAGCATGTCTCTTTGTATTGTTGACATGGGCTACTCTTGTGAGGCCAAAGGAATATAGTATGTGTATGTAACTAGCATATTTCCTACCGAGCATTGTAAGCTCACCCCTCGTTGATTCCCCTCTCAGGTTGAAGCAAGGCTTTTGAGGACGATGCTTCCTTTTTACTTGTTTTGTGATGTAATTTGGTATTATATGTTTTTTGTCGCCATTTCATGTTGTAGCCATTTTAGGTATTATGATTCGAGTTGAGGTGACATGTATCTTTGGGAAATGTAATTATGAGTATGTGGTATGATTTGGAATAATTGTATTTGGTACTCGGAGAAAATCATGTAATGAGGCCATAAAGCCACTTTTTTTCCAAATTAGTATTGCTACCATCTTATTTTGCTCACTCAAGGATGTATGTTGCACGCACATACTTAGGATTCACCATGTTCATACCATATTTCATCACTTGGGAAGTTTTAGATTCAGTTTTGGGACTATATATATGCATATGAATGATTTAGGGTGGCCATGGACCTTTCTGCAGGGTTATTTTTCCATTCTATTTCGTTGGGATCGATCTTAGGTACACTACGATCGATCTTTAGTTCATTCGGATCAATCTCAGATTTCTGTTTTGTTGGGATCGATCTTAGGTTCACTAAGATCGATCTTAGTTCCTGTTCACAGCACTGTAGGGCAAACTTCAAATGGCCATATCTTGCTCATCTTAAATCCAAATTAGGTCATTCTTGAGTTTAAATTGACTGTCTTGAAATAAGCTTTCCAATGGTACCAGTCTCATTCCACAATTCCCACAGCACTGTAAGGCAAACTTCAAACTGCCATATCTTGCTCATCTTAAATCCAAATTAGCTCATTCTTGAGTTCAAATTGACCGTCTTGAAATAAGCTTTCCAATGGTACCAGTCTCATTCCATAATTCCCACCATGGAGAGAGTTATGATTCTTTTTGTGAGACATGCTCTGAAATCTTTTAGTCCGAGGATGCCTTTTATGGCGAATCCATTCCTTTGATGTTAGAGACCTCATATAATGTTATTATATGATTGGTTTGGTCTTAGTACTTCATTTGAGTTATCTTTGGGGTCACATTAGCCATGTAGGTTAATGTGGGTCATCGCTTTCGCATTTGTGACTGTTTTGGTTTCTTTTGTCATTAGCTTCCTAGTTATGCACGTACTCAAGTCTTGTTGACTTCACTTAAGGTTCTTGTGTTGTCCTAGATATGGCATTTTTCTCTAGTAACATCTTCCTTTTATTCGCTTCCGCATTTTGGACCGAGTTCCAGGTCGGCTTTGGGTTTCCTAGTTAATGCACCGGATCATGGGATTTGAGGTGTTACACAAAGTATCTCCTATTTCTCTCTCACCACAAACCCCACCATACACACAGGGGAGTAGCCCTCCAAGCATCTCTGACTCGGCTCTCCACTATACACCCTCATCAAGTCTCAAGCAAGTCGACCATAGATTCTGAGAAAACCCATGGAATACCAAAAGCAACCAAAAAGAAAGACCAAACATCCCTTGCCACCAAGCAATGAATACGAAGATGGTTAACAAATTCCCCCGTCTTCTTACACATGTAGCACCTCTTAACCACAACTTGACTTCTTCTTCTAAGATTATCAATAGTGAGGATGCTTCCCAAAGCAGTTGTCCATGAGAAAAAAGCTACCTTAAGTGGTGCTTTCGTCCTCCAAATAGCTTTCCAAGAAAAAGCAGGGCCAGAAAGCTCCACCATAATAAAATAGAAGGACTTAACCTCGAACACCCCTCTCGAGGAACCCACCTACACCATCTCATCCATGCTCACCCTGACCACCACCTGGATATAGATGAAAGCTAGAAGATCTATAACCTCCAATAGTCCTCAATCACAGAACTGTCTAAGGAACCACATATCCCAAGTCTTCTATTATCAAGGCGATAATAATTAGCAACTATAGCATCTCTATTCACAGCAATCCGGTAAATTTGAGGGACCCTACGGGCCAAAGCCAAATCCCCACACCATGTGTTACCAAAACCTGACATTTCTTCCACTTTAAACCTTGAACCGAATCCTTTTAGAAAATTCATCCCAACCTCCACGGAGAAGTTTCCAAAAGCCCATACCCGCTAGGAATCTAACCTCCCTAGACTACCACCCACCATCACCCTCCCCATAATGACAAGCAATGAGACACCTCCAAAGCTTGGTCCTCTCTTTCTCAAATCTCCACAACCACTTGCCCAACAGCGCCTTATTAAACACATCCAACCTTCGAATGCCCAAACCCCCCATTTTAACAGGGGAACGCACTTTATTCGAATAAGC